CCGAAACTCTCGCTCTCCGCTCGTTGCCTGGATGTGTCTGGATGTCACATTTTATTCATTTCCGGCTGGAGTACGCGCATACACGCATATAAACATACACATTCACACTCACGCACATCTCAACCGCAAACATTAAAACACAGCAATGACTTCATCTCATTACGGATAATTTGTATAAAAATAAAAAAAAAAAACTCCGTGCAGCGCGAGTATGTGCAGAATTTTATGTAAGCTATCCCTGGAAGTACTCGAAAATAATCACGCAAACGTTGCGCAACGTAGACACAAAAGGAATAGCTTCAAATTTTCAAGAGAGATATATCCAGACAAATGTGTTTTGGTAGATGAAACACACACACACAGATATAACAACAACAACAAAACAAAACAAAAAAACGAGTATAGACTGTAGAAAAAGTGTATTTCTTTACCAAACTTGACGTGTGATGCGAACAATATATTTGGTTGAAAACAAATGTGCGCGTTCGTGAAATATTCGAGCGTACTTAAAATAATTAGAGAGACAGCACGAACTAAAAAAAAAACAACAAGCTACAACGCGTTTATATTATTTTTATACAAATATTTCACGTTAGAACGTGCAACAAATAAGTTAGAAACCTTTCATCAAATCACATTTAGCATTTTCAATTATTTAATCTATAAACTAGATGGAATGTTGTTATTTATGTTTTCAATTGCAACTTGAAAGCCATCGCGCTCTAAACAAATCCAGTTTGATTATGAGAGTTTCGCATAAGGAGATTTACCCGTAGTGAATAAAATCCTATCTTAAATCCTTTCGGTGTTTACGGAGCATGAAATGACTGCAGCGGAGAAAATGCGTTTATTTATTTGTTAGATTGTTGAAATAACTTCATTTCAGTTCAGTTTATATTTATTGAAAATACACTAATTCAAAATTAACTTGAGATTTGTTAATACCAGTAAGTGAAAATGAAACTCGAAATATGTTATTAGTGGTATGATAAATTAATTAAATTAAATAATTTTGCTGTTGCAGTGATTTGTGATTTCTTTGTTATTATTTGGATTTGAGCAACGCAGAATCTTGATTAAGATTGCGCAGATGTTTGTTAATTGCGTCGAGGAGTAGTGTTTCAATTTCGTTTGAAGGATTTTCTCGTTATATTTTTTTTTTTGCTTCATTTCATTCTTTCCCGTCCGTTTTCTGGGTCGTAATTGGAGTTCTGCTGAATATTAATTTAAAATATCTGTGCCCAAATAGGAGCGCTCCGTGCTAGCATCTGCTTATTAATTCTTGTCATATTATTTACATCTGGCAATTGTCTTCTCTGCGTGTTTATAATTTAGTCTCGGAAGAGAGAAGTAGAATTACGATCCTTGCCGCCGCACCGCACCGCACCGCATCGCATCGCACACGGCCAGACGCTTCTTCGACTTTTAATTAATTTGCATGCCCGGGCTTCCGGCCGTAATGCCGTAGAACGTTCAACGCAGACCGTATATTGCATTTGTGGCCGGATCCCGTGCGAACCGTGGATCCACCGCGTCGCGTCGCGCCGCCCCGTGTATGTGGGTGGGTGTGTATGCGGTTCAGAAACCGGGAGTGAAATTGATTTTGCATTTTATGTTACCTATATAGCCTGCCGATCGGCTTTTAAGTAAATGAAGCTTCGCCAATTTGATAATCCCAAATGCATTTCGATTGGCTTCAGTGAGCCACAATTCCCCAGCGTATCTACAATAGCTCCACAATTACGTAAATAATTGGTGTTTAATTACGGCAACTACAGTTAGCAATCATCGAATAACTGACAATTAACGAAACTAATCGAATTACTCTAATAAATTACACATAATTACGTTTCGGTTAGCAAAAAAGAAAAAGGGGGGAATCTCTCATATTCACGTCGTCTCCGACTCTGACAGATGTTGCATACTTTTCCCTTGGGCGCTTCTACGTTTTTGTTTATTTTTTTTACTCACTCTTTCGGTGAGAACACCCCTGAAATCTTAACGTCTCGCCGACGATTGACAGCTTCAAAATGTGTTCCCACACAATGAACCCATATTTTTTTTTATTATTATACCTGTTGAGGATGTGAAGAATTGCGTGCGCCAGCATCTTTCTGCGGATTATCAAATACTTGTTCGTTTGTGTGTGCACTTTGCTCTCCGTGCTCTCCGGATCGGATAATGGCGAATCGTTTCGAATTATTAACCTGCGAGCGTGTCGCTACGATGATCCTAAGGGTTTTTATTCTTTTTTTGGATGCGAGTGCCCTTTGTGCAGCATCCGTATTTTCGATAAAGTACACCTTTTGAACTTTCCGAATAATGCGATTAAATCTGAAAATTTAAATTTAACAATGCGCACAATTTTCCCATCCACCTGGTCTCAATTATTAAAGTATAATAATCTTATTTTCTGATTTTTAATACCATTAGAATTCGGAATTTCTAAGCAATATCGACATCATTCATTATCTTTTTTTGTACTTTACCTACTTATATTTTCCTAAATAGAAGATTATTCCTTTGAAGTTTAAAAATAAATGAGCATGATGTAGTTTCTAGTGTTATTATATAACTTCTGCATCCTTTCTTAGGCGTTTCAACAAGATTCTTTGAATTATTTCACTGTTTCAAATATATTTCAACTATGTATATATTATATAGTAAAGGGTATCCCAAAATTAACGCAAGATTTAAATTTGCCACCTTTTGTGCAGTAAAGTGTCAAATTGTTTATTTTTTGGGCTTTCCAACACTTTTCTGCATAAATAGCGGAAAATTCAAATCTTTCGTTAATTTGGGACACCTTTTACTATATAATCAATATAAACTCTGTACAAATTATATTTTTCAATAATTAAATTTGTCTTGACAAAAAATATTTCGAATATCAATTTTGAACACAAACAATGATTATAGGACAAAACAAACAATTTATTTGAATAATTCAGAAACCTAATTGTTTTGTAATCAATACGAAGAGAATTATATAACTAATACAATATGAATGACTTATAAATAGTTTGTTAATAAGTATAAAGTAGCGCCGTCATTTATTCATTCATTGTTTGCGCATTTGTTTGTTAAAAATGCAATGATTCAATGATTTGCCCCCCAATATTAATGCGGAACAATAGTGTGAAAGAATTATGAAGTTCCGCAAAAAAAGCCCATAAATTGTATGTCTGCAATTCGTGCATCATCCGATATTGACAAATATTGCAATAAAAAAGAAATGAAATACGTATATATCTTCACAAAAAAAACAACAAGCGTGTTTGTTCGTTATAATTTTATATAGTTTTTTTTTCCCAAAAATTATGATTTGGTGCATTTTGAACTTTGTCCGGTTGATGTGAATTGATTTATGTAATTATGATGAAAACAATATTTATTCGTCTGCAAAAAAAAAACTACGGTTTACTAAATTTAATTGCGGATTTCTGCGTTAATTTCATTAACTTTAAAACCGCATGAAAATAAACAGCAGAAAACGAGACTGTATAGAGAAGATACAAAAAAAAACGATCATTAATGTATAAAATAATAAATAAAATAAATTAATTTTTTGAATATAAAATATTAATAATATGTTTCAGCAGCATTTAGTTTTTAAATATTTTCTCGAAAAAAAGGAAGACGCATTCGAAGAAAAACCATATGCAAAAATGCAGTAATCAATCTCATTAACACGTGTTGCGTCTACATTTACACATGCGTATGAAATTACACATATTTAATACTTCACTGTCTGACGATTTATAATTGTATCAACTCGATTATACTTTTTTTTTGTTTGTTAAATTCGAACTACGGCAGTGAATCCTCAATCATCCATTGTTGACTTCTTGAACGTCAATCGGATTTGCAATTTCTGCGGATTCAGTGACCAGAGGACGGAACTAGATCTACGTCCACGCCTGACAATGCATTCGAAATGCGCAATTTATTCCTTTGGCCTTTCTCTTCAAACTCTGAATAGATGGATATTCCATCGTAATTGCATCTGATTAATTCGAATCATTCAGTCTACATGTAATTTGAACTGGAGAATGATATTAATGAAACGGATTCATCTAATATCTAGTGTAAATAAAATAATTATTGTATGTTGGTTGGAAATAACTTGAAAACGTGATCAAATCTCGGAAGACGTGTTGAATTGTCGAAAGTATAATTTTGTCGGTCTGACGAGTCCGATGCGAATTATCGTGCGTGACCAGCTGAATAATGTTAAAGGATAACAATGGGTTTTATTCTTCGTACGTTAAGGAGTACAAAAAAAAATATAATAGTGTTATTTCAGAAAGTGTAGTAATACACATTATAAAATGTATGTTTAAAACATGTTTTGTTACATTCCTTCTTAAAGAAAATGAAAAAACAATTTAACAAAGTGAAATCACATTAAAGACAAGAATTAATTTTGTCTTCATTTTTTAGTCTAGCTAATAAAGTTCTCTAAATCTTCCAGTGAAAAAAAACAGATTTCAAATTTCTAATGAATGTTTGGCTTTGTATACAATGATTAATAAAAGACAATTATGTTTCAATATTATATAAAATTTAATAAAAATTCAAGCAAACATGAATCTACATAATAGTTTTTGTAATTGAATATTCATTAGTAATTGTGTTAATATAAATTAAATGTTGTATATGAAATAATGCGATGTGTTATGATATTAATAATATACAGAGTAAAATAGGAATTGTTTCCGACAGAATGTAATAAAGAATTGTATAAATACGGCATGAAATACAGATTTCCCCGAAGGTTCTATAAATTTTTGCATTAAGAAACTATTATTTATATTCCGCACTTCGGGGCTCGTAAAGCCGCGACGTCGGCGCGCGTTTTAAGAGCGTCGTGAAAACCTTTATTGCATCAATCTTTCACTATTACGAACCGCGTGCGAGTTGCGCAACAAATGCAATTATTGTTATGAGGACGCGGTGGAAATCAAATCGTTTCTAATAGCGTGAATCTGCTGCTGCAGAAAATACGTACGTATTTCGGTTTTGGGTTTCGGTCGCGCGGCTTTGCATGCATGTAATAAAGAAGTGTTAAGATCGTTTCATCGTTTATTATTGTTATAAGGGAGCTGCTGCTGCTGCGGTGCGGTGCGGATGTGAGCCATAATAGCCGGTGACCGTTTTATTATATTACATTATCTATTTATCTTTGGGGTCACTCTATATAGAATCACTTGCAACAGGATACATGGGGAAGCGGACGAAACACAATACGCGCACTCGAACTGCACCGTCAGAGACCGTCACGGGCCCATAATGTGAGAGCACAGCCGTGACAAAAGATACTTTTTTTTCTTCTTTCTTCAAAAGACCTACCATGGAAATTAAAACACATTCATTATTCACACTTAATTATAAACTATATTTCCTACTATAATTATATTTTCAAACAGAAAGTTCAGTTTATTTTAAATTTAATATATAGAGAAGAAAATTGAAACTAAATTATATAAAATTCATTAGAATTAAGAGCGAGAAATGTCTTAATTCTTTTTTAGTATCAGTATAAGGTTGTAATTTAGATGAGAAAATCAGGTGATCAGGCAGTCCGTGCACTCTGCGGCAATAACCTTTAATGCTGTGTAGTAAGCGAAGAGCTAGCAAGTATGTTATAGTAATGGCTCAGTTTTAGGGCCCGACGCTCTTGGCGCATTTAAGGAATTTAGTGTATTCCAATATTATCAGGGGACATAGTTTAAAAGCCGTAGATAATACGTAACAAATTGAAACGATGGACAGAAACCAATTATATACTTAATTAATTAATGATTTTACTGACCTATGCCGGTTGCGCAGATGCTGTGCACTTTAGTCTACAAAAATCGCGTGTGTGGTGTATGAGTCAAGAAGGCGTTTCCTCGACATCTGTAGGTGATCGAATTTATGTGGGCGGATTGGAAATTAGTGCGTAATATTTTGCTGGCTCTCGTAAAGAATCATAAATGTGAAGGGCGACGGAAATCGTACATCGAAAAGCGAAAATTGCGGATAAATCTTTCGCGAGAAATCTGTTTTCGACGATCGAATGTTACGGAATGCATTTGTCTCCGGGGTTTATTGCCAAAAGGGCAGAACAAATGGGCCGGTCGAATCCGCGAAATCCATTATTGTAAAACGAATAAACACTAGTGAACCGATATGATATGAGTTTTGTTCATTTCGTTCATTTCGTTCGGGTGCTGCATTTAGAGTTTCGGTTATTGGTGTTTTGGGGATTTATGGGTCGCTGCGCTGCAAAGTCGCACGTTGTGATAATGCATTAAACTTATACACAACTTTAACCCGGTCGAGCCGACGCAGCCGGAAACGGATGCGTGACATCTGCCATCTTCGAGCGTAAATCAACTTAAGCCATTATGAATTTTATATGAAACACGATTTACACATCATTCGTTGCTACCGAAAAATAACAATAAAACAACATGTATTAAGTATATTGCTGCAGCATAACCAAGTCATTCATTTAGCACCAGTCTTAAGTGAAACGTGTTTTGTTTGTTTCTGCTTAAGATGGTAAACATCATGCATATTTTTTTGCATGTCACATTGATGCGATGCTCAAGACGACAGCAGACTAATTCATATAACCAGATGGAATTAACATTTTTTATTAAATAGCATAAGAGAAACTAAAACAGAAATATTGCATTATCTTATTTAATTGTATCTATTATTTTGTATTTTTGTTTTTATTTCAGAATTAACTTAAAAATCAAATGTTCGATGCTTGCTTAAACTATTAATAAAATAATTTAATATGTTTCATTGCTAAATCTTTAGATCGTAAACTTCTTTGTTACAAGACTTATTCAATGGTGAATTAAGAGTTCAGAAGACTTCTTAAGACGTATTTCCTATTTATTGTACAAGCCTTTCACATTGGAAGTGCTTCTTTATTTGCTGTGAGGACGTGAATTAGTTTACATTCGATTATTCTTTAAGTTGATACATCTCGTGTTAAGTGGAAGGAAGGAAAAAGGAAGGAACGTCGTCGACGGGTGAAAGAAAAAAAAAATCTGCTAAATTCATAGGACATCAATCACTCCGCCAGCAGTTATTTTAGGAGCCGCTCAGATTATCGAGGGTGTAGATGTATTAATGCGATACTAAACGCCTTTCCAGCTGAAAGCTTCATCTCCATCTAGTTACGACCCGTCGACTTAGTCACCCCCAAACCTCAACACTCGCACACATATTTGCCGACATTAAAATATGTGGGATATTTCCAAAAGAATGTTATTTAATTATTGAAATGCTGCGACCCATATTCTTCTGGTACGAATGCAGAAACCCGCAGCTGCAAACTGTGTTTCAACTTAAATATTCGCCGTATGTTACCGAACTCAAGTTGGCGTAGGTTGGCCCCTGAGGCGCAGCTTTTTAAATTGTACACATCGATGGGGAATACAAATACAATTTCGTCGGTACCCGTCGTTCACTCCCAAATAACATCACGTACTACAACCATGTTCGGCCACATTCAAACCCTCCCTCCCTCCATCAGCAGCCAACGTCTTTCCAACAGATCCCTCCTGATTAAATATTAATTAACCTTTCCTCTGCGCTAAAATCAAACACACGCATTACGTAATTTCGCTCGATTAATCTTCGATATACAATCAATGAGTATTTGCTTAGTCAACAAGGAACTATATTGAAATACCTTTGCCTATACATACTACCAACCATAAAGTAAGTTTCTCATATCGGAATATATTTATAATCGGATAAATTGCGATACAAGTAAACGTAAAGGAACCTCATAATGTAAATAATACATATACAGTGAAACAAACACCTCGCATAACGAGCAAAAATGACTCGCTTAACGAGTGACGATGTGTATTTTTTGAATATATTTTACTATACGAGTAAAAATCCGGACATTTTGGAATGGATTAATCTCGTTAAGCGAGGTTCCACTGTATATTGGTTTAACGTTAATCAATATTTATAAATAATGGTATGGAAATGTAAAATATATAAGATAAGGTTGGGCGTTAAACATTATCAAATTCTAATTGTTATTTTCATCAGATATTAGAATAAAATTATCATTTCTATAAAGCCTAATTTAATGCGGATGCGCCGGGCTCGAGATGGGAATGCTATAGCTTTGACTGAATTGATTAAATTACACGATTCGGTGAGTTTTACAATTAATCAAGATTAACGTGCAGAATGGAGTGCGTCATAATTCGAATGTGCCGGCGATTAAACAGCTGTCAATGATTCTGTGACGAGACGTGGCGCGTTGCTAGATCGAGAGGGTTTGTTAATCATTAATAATTTCGTTTGCAAGTGAAATTTCATTAGGGGTCGGAGGCCGGCATACGGATGCGTTTGCCATATCCATTATTAATCATTAATATGTCAACATATACGATCCGATTAACTTTGTGTTGCATAACGATAAAACCTTGTGTCTGTGTTGCAGAACGCGTTATGTGTGTTCAGGTTAGCGCATGTGTATGTATGTATGTGAGTGGCATATTTCATACTTGGAAATCCCTAATTATCTAATCAAATCGCGATTCAACCGCGATTTTCCGGTCTAATTGGTGCATTTTGCTGTGAGTATAGGTGTGCGTAGGAATGTTGGTACATCTGGCGCGTATCTCACACCTCTAACACGGTGTTTACACGGTGCATATTTTTCGCACGCGGCTGCATATATGCGCACGTGCGAATTAAGGGGGCGCTAAATACGACGACGGGGGATCGCAAGATATTCCGTGTTAGCGTTATGGGGGTTGCATAAGTAATTCTATATGCATGAAGAAGATATTCGCGCGCGCGCACGGAGATGCGAGAACGCCCGTAAATTGGAGCCCGAACATCGCATTTCGTTTAAGTGTAAAATGCTGTGTTGAGGGATTACAGCTTCTCTCTTTTTTTTGCGCCACTAAACTAAGTAAAACTAGACTCGAATATGCATTTATATTTTATGACTCTCATCTTCATCAGCCATACAACTTTAAATTACCTCCTACGGACGTGAGATACTCTGTTTTCTCGTTTATTTTCTCTTTTTTTTTATAATTTTGAACCTTAATTAAGTAACTTAATGCGAATTGTTACAACATAAAACGTTCTGTTTTTCAACGAAATAAGTTAGATTGTAATAAAAACAGGTTTCAAATTATAATTTTATACTAATACATAGTGCGTTTAGTCCGGACTATGCGAGGTATTTATGTATTACATCAGAATTGATTTATAATTAAATAAATAAATTCATTTAAATTGAAAAATCTATGCTTTTAATTATAAATAATTACGATTGTTTTAAATTGGTTAAAAATGTATAAAGCAGTTGAAAAATCTGATTATTTTGAATATAATTGAAGAAATTATATCTGATTGTTATAGGTTTTAATAAAATATGTCTATAGAATTTATGTTGCGGAAAATATGTGACACATATTGATTCCAACATATTTGATAAAATATTTAATATATCTTGCACAGATATTAAGATAACTAAATTCTGGTTAGGATTTTAATATATTCTACGCAATAAACTTGATATATAGACGTCCACATCGTTAGAAATAAGACGCGCCTACCTACCTATCCCGGCGTATATAATCTCTGCTCTCAATTTTCCTTCCACTTGTCTACAATCCTATGTATGCATACTGGATGCCCATTTATTTTGGCTCAGTTTTATTACGCGAAAATTGTAACAGATCAGCGTAATTTTTTTTTCTTATTCTACTGCCAACAATTTTTATTCAAAGTTTCCCAAAGAATGGTTATGTTAAATACAAATATGATACACCGATTACGCGTTTACTTCAGTAATCAAAGAAACGAGAATGGATACAAAGACAAGTTCTTATTAAATGGATGATGAATCGTTGCAAATTTAATGGGGCACTCGGGGAGCGATGGCGGTGCTCGTACAATTGGTAATTGGCAAGCTTTTCCAGAGGCACAACATCTTTCCCAAGCTCTCTCCACTAAATGGAATGGGATCTGCGCTACATGTGCGAGGTTTCCTTTTCTTTTTGCGGAAAAAAATAATCCCGTTCAGGTTAATTACATCCTCGGGGGGATTATCAGAATGATCATCGTTGATGGCGAGGTGTAGTGCCCTAACATTAGAAAATAGTTGTGCGGGTAATAGAGGGTAAAGAATGTCCCGTATAAGGTATAAACTTGTCTTGGGGCCGTTGAGCCACCGGAATCCTGATTAACGAGCCGGACGCTGGAGATGCTTCCACACATTTTCACATTCGCCGCAAAATTCTCCACGATATTTCCGACTACACAATAATCTACTAATTTATTTACACTGCACGACCTGGCCTACATTGTCAACAATAATCCAAAACAAACGAAATTAGTATAACGTTGGAATATATACTCGTCATTATATAATAGTTCTAACTGAAGCTTTGTAATGTTACTTTAATACTAGCTTGTAAGAAAACTTACATCTTGCAATCATGAGATTTTGTAGAATCATATAAAAAGTTGATTTCTAATTGATTTCTGCAATCATTGTGAAATATCAGAATCCGGTTATGCCGAAGTCAAACGCTTCACTTAAGGTAATAGGAAATTATAAGGAGTGCATAATTAATACATTTCTCTCTCTCTCTGAGTCCTTCTAGATCTGGCCTTTATGGGAGGTACCGTACCGGTGGGCCGAAGGGGCCGCAAACACCGCTAAACTTGTAATCGCATTAAAACCCGGGCGAGCGTTTGTCTTTCACTAAAATTCACTTCGTCAGAGAAATTTAACCACGGAATGAATATACATGTCTATCCATTTCCAGGTTTCTCTGGTGAAGAATTCGATCCTTAATTCAGTTAGCTTAACTGCACTGCGTTAATTGAAAACTATACATAGCTTTTTGAGCATTTGATAATTGTAATTACTACACTCCTTGCCTCTGAAATAATTTGTATTATTTTACCTACACTAATAATTTACTGAATAATATAGAGAGAAAATCTAGTGTTTTATAATAATTTATTATAAAAGTTAGAGTTAGAATTGAAACCATTGTTCCGTTGGACAAAAGAATGATTTAAAGTATATACATTTTTCTGTTTCCGCCACTCCTTGTATATTTATTCGAACCTCTTTTTCTCTGTTTCAGAATGAATTACTTTGTTATCTTAATCTTGTGGTTGGCGGCGAGCGGTGGCGAAGCGCAAATCTCCTGCTCGGATGAGTGCGTCTGTTATTTGGATACAAAGGGCCGGAATGTGGTGGATTGTAAGGAAGGCGGAATGGTGGGACCGTTGGTGCTCGCCAACGTCAGCACGAAAATCGAAGTGTTAAAAATCACCGCCCCCGAAGATAACATGAACGAGCTCACGATGAATCCGGTCATCGGAAATTTCAAGAACCTGGAGGAGATTCACATCATCCGCTCGAACATACCCAATCTGGGAATGCATTTCTTCTATGAACTGCACAAATTGGAGGTGCTCGATCTGTCGCAGAACAATATCACGCAACTGTTGCCACCGAATTTCCTCGGACTGAATAAACTGCACGAATTAAATTTGGATGATAATCGTATCAGTTCACTGCCCAGCGAGACGTTCAGGTACTTGAAAGAGCTTAAAGTGCTGTCGCTGCAGAAGAATCGTATCGAAGTCCTCAGTCAAGGCGTTTTTCGTTTGGTCGTCAAACTCAGGGTTCTCAAATTGAATGGTAACTACATCCGGGACTTTCATCCAGACGTTTTTAAATATGTCAAGGTATGCATTATTTACATTCAATCAATCTTAAAGCTAGCTTAATATTTTGAATTAATATGTCATATGAAGAATTTAAACGAATCTTAATCTCTAATTTCTATAATACAAAGAAGTAATAATCTTTAGAAGAAATATGTTTAGAAACAATTTGAGTAATGTGTTTGTTTTTATTTATTTTTTTTTAATTAAATTGCGGAGGACAGTGAAATCTATCGTGCGAAACGTAATTGCCTCTTAATTTTAAGTGAAAAATGAAGTGCGGCGCGGTTCGGTGTCTGAGAATAATTAAATTTTTCCGTAATTGCGACCATTAAATATATTTTGCGGTGGAAAATGTAAATGCGAAATATCGAATAAATAATGAATTAGGTTATACGGGGAAGAGTACAAAATTCATAAACTTGACGGTACATTTTTCGTCGGATCCCCCCCCTTCTTGGTTGCGTCTTGATTTAGCATTAAAATATGCAGAGTTATAAATTTGTCGGAACGCGTGAACTTGAAAACTTCGGCGGCGCTGAAACTTTTTTCATCAGTTTTTGTTTAAAAATTATGTGTTAATTAATCATTTCGGTACGGCCCTGCGGGTTTAACGTCGGCTTCTCTCTCTCTCTCCGCGCAAACTTTATGTGCACAGATTATATTTAGTTTATTTTTCTTTTCTGTTTTGGTTTGATGTTACTAAGATTTTCTTTTTTTTGTGTGTGTGTTTGTTTATTATGTTATAGGATTTACGTGTGCTCGAGTGCCGCGGTTGCATGTTGACGGTGTTGAATCCGCTCGTTCACGAGCTGCTGCCGCATTTGACGCATTTGGATATCGGGGAGAATCAAGTCACTTGGATGGACGCAACAAGTTTCCGGGATTTGCGGAAGTTGAAGGTGCTGAAGCTGGACAGCAATCAATTGAGTGTAATACCTACTGGCGTCCTGTCAAATCACACTGATTTGAAGCGACTGCATTTGGGAAGGAATAGCATCTCGAACGTGGAGGAAGGGGCGTTCAGGAATCTGGTGAATGTGAGTGAATTGGATTTGGGCTACAATAAATTGGAGCGATTGGAGGGTGACGCGTTGCGAGACACGAGGAAGAGCTTGGAGCGGCTGGTCCTGAGTGGGAATAAGTTGAGGGCGGATGACATTAAGGAGTTACTGGCCGAGATGAGCGTTCTGAAGGATCTGCAAATGGCCGAGATGGCGCTCGGGGCGCTAGATGAAGGCGTAATTCCCGAGACGGTTGCCGTTTTAAATTTGGGCGGTAATCAGTTGCCTTATCTGGCTGCTTATGTACTGCCGCGGGATCTGAAGGATTTAGACTTGTCTCGTAACGTGTTCAGGGGCTTACAGGACGACGTCGTGAAGAAAGTGGAGAACGTGCGCTGCAAACTGGATAATAACCCGTGGTCCTGCGATTTGTGCCACATAACCCATATGCTGGCGAGCGTAAACAGGAGCAGAGATTTCTACAGCGTCAGGTGCTCCCTGCCGTATCACCACAGGAATAAAATCCTGGGAACTTTGGATCGCGACGAATTGAGTTGGTGCAACGCACAGAGTTATTCCTCCGAGGGTGCGAACTTGTACCTCAGTCGCGATGATGGCAGATTAGGTATAATAGCTGCGGCTGCTTCGCTCCTGCTGCTCCTCCTGACGGCGTTGGCAGTCCTCGCTGCCGTTTTTTACACGCGTAGACACGCAGCCAGATACTACACGCACGAGGAGCGTAGATTAGATGAGAAGGAGGCCATTTTCGAGAACCAGAGCCCGCTCTTCGGGGAGGAGCTCAGCTTCAAATTCCCGCTGGACCCGATCGACAGGAAAATATCAATCGCCACAATAGACGAGATTAAGAAGGAACAGCGCGCCGTCTCCAATGGGACCTGATATCCCGGTTCCAACCAAGTCTACGCCCTTCTTAAATAATTTATAGATCTTCTCCTAACATTTATCAAACGACAATTTACACCCCTTTTTGATAGAAAACAACCAATATATACATTATCTCTCTCTCTACAAATATACACATACAGAGAGGAGAACCATTCCAATCGAAACACTGCCGCTGCCAATGCAATCGTCAATTAATTATGCATCCATTAGATTAACCCGGCTTTAAAAGTGCTACGCTGTACGTGAACTGGTGATTCATTAAAAACACTAATAGATGTCACTTAATACATGTCAGGCTTACATTTAGCAGCGAACACGCTGCACGTTATAATTCGTTTAAAAATTGTTTAAAACAACTTTCGGTGCCATTTCTGTTAGAAACTGTTAATAATGCGGGACGTTATTTGGTAAGTGTTGTTGTTTACTTTTTTTTATATATATATATTTCTTTCAAATTTTATTACGAAAACGAATCGAAACGACAACAAAATTGAAACAACAAAAGCGGGTTTGAGTGAACTAAATCGTGGTTTAGTTCACACCGATCCAAATCCAAATTTCCAACAAACTGCAATTGATTGTGGAAGTCGCACGGACGGACTGACCGGTTGGCTGTAAATAAAACGAAAACAGCAGCGACACACACATTTAATATTAATTAAGTTTAAAATTAAATTAGTCTGTGCGCGCGCGTTTGTATTTGCGGACAGCACACAAAACCAGTCGCCAGATTGTATTTTGCACTCGTTACGCAACAATTTTATAATTAATTCTGTGCCAACGAATTCCATTCGAAGTTCACTCCAAATTTTAATAACATAACATAACAAAAAAAATATATATACTGTATTTAATCTACTTATTATTATAATTTTATATTATTATTATATATGTGCGTGTAATGGAAATATGTGAACGTTGTTGTATTATATAGTACTTAAAATATTTTCGTAACGCATTACTAAGAGATTTTTTCTTTAATATTTATATTATATTATATATATATACGTGTGATTTTAGTCCTGTAAGTGATAATTAAACATATATTTTTCAAATTAATTTTAATTATATTTATATCAATAAACAGTATACATCCAAAACGAAGCTGGTTTTAATTGAAAATGATTCTGTAAGAATAAGTAAAAATAATAAAAAAAAACGTAGCAAAAAAAAAATAATCTTGTCTTTCTTTCATTCCAAACCCTTTCCTTTTTTTTTGTGCTTCCGCCACAGCCCATAGATCTTTTACACTTAATTGGAGTTCTTGTTAATTAGAATCCACAATTCGGGTTTTAAAGCAAACAGAATAAAACACCGGCGGATCGGAGAGCTGATTTATTAATTTCGTTTTATTCTCACTCGCATTTTTCTATTCTACCTCCGAATATATATAATTTTTTTAATTACTTTTTTTTCGTTTTCCGTTCTATATAGTTTTCCTTTCTATTCAGTTATATTATATATATTTTTTCTTTTTTCGTTGGTCCGTATTTTTACAATTCCCCGCAATTATTATTTGTTTTTTTTTGCGGGTCGCTCCAAATTAAGGGATGAAAGCGCATTATTATTTTTTTATAATTATTTCCTAGGGACGGAAATTAATTAAATTTAATTAAAGATTCGAGTGTGTCTGCGGGCGAAGCGGCTCGAAATCGTGTTTTAGAATTGCCCATTTAGAGAGGTGAAACGAATTATAGAATGATGGAATTATAGAACAATATTGAATGCTAATACTATTTATTTGCATAATACAGTTTGACCATTCATCGAGCAAAGAAAGGTAAGTTTTTCTTTTTCTTTTTGTTGTTATTTTAATTCCCTGCAGGCCACCGCGAACGTTCGGTAAATAATCCCGAAGTTGATATTTATAAGAAACCACTGGACTATGATTTCCCCTTGGTACGTAATATTGATATTCAATTATTAGTATACTTTCTTGAGAGAGTTTTCCATGGAATTGCCGTTTTTATTGCGGTATAATTATTTTTTTACATCTGTCAGCGATCAAATATTTAATAAATATCTTATCATCAAGGCAGGGGGAAAACAAAATTTCGAATTCACATTTACTGCATCTTTTTCATTGGTTCGAAAGCACTAAAACTTGCAATTTCCTCGATAGAATTTCTCTCTCTCTCCACATTTACGATAAGTGAATCTTCTAAATGGAACAGTGGAACTGGGTCAAACTACGTGAAAGTAAAAACCTACGAAGTACACCTACTTTTTTTTTTAATTAAATAATCTACATGTTTACTAAAAGTAATTAAAATATCGTCTCCTATACCTGTGCCTTGCGCTAGGTGTCAACAATTCGTATCCGGGGATGGAATATCTCTGGACACTGTGAAATACTTTGTAGTATTGTCCATGAGGATGGAGTCCTAGTGGGTTTTATGGAAGAGACTAGATTAAAGTCAGTTTAATATTAGTATTTATTTAACACTTAGATGCTGGTGATTATTAATCTAGCTTCTAGTTGCTACAAGCATAGGTTGCTGGTCAAGAGTATTGTCAAACTAGAACTGTTACTAGGTTCTTCCTAGGACTCACATGAGTCGCGGACTAACTAGGACGAGGACTAACTTAAAATAAGATAAATGTCGTCTTGTTTGTAAGAAGACGTCTTGAATACAGAATAATATGCCATGTCGGATGTACGTCATAGGCGTCGGCGAGGATTTGTTGATGTCTCCTGCTGTCGATAAGGTCTAAAGGGTGATAAATCTTACAATTGTTTGGGGAGGTTAATTTTGGGCGGCATAGTTTTTATAGTTAGCTGCCCGATTTTCACATAGTGCCCCTTTTCAAGAGGGTGACACAAATGGGTCGTAAAATTAACAAAATATGAGAAACAGAGCGTTTCTCCAAAACGTTTTTATTACTCTAAGCGGATGTTTCAAGTGCCGATAGGCTTGTTTAATTATTATCAATAATTAATAATAAAGTGGTTGGCCACAACAGTATGGCATGCAACTCGGAGGATCATGCTGCATGGTCTTCCAAATGTCCGAAGAGACCAACAAAACCCATATCGGGTATAGCTAACATCAAAGTAAGGCCACTTAATAAAAAGACGTGTGGTCTACCTAAAGACCTTCAGGACAACAGAATTCACAGGCCAATAACAATACATGACCACACAGTTAGAACCTATATTAACAAATTAAACTCGCCAAAGAATGCAGAAAATCGCGCAGAATTGCTGCAGCGCTTGAGAAGACGATTTATAGACAACTTTAATGTTGAAACACTCGTCTGCTTTTCTGGACATGATATGTTCTAATGTTCGATGTGGATGACTGGGAGCAGGAGTCTCCTACGGATGTGAATCAGGGGACGGCCTGAAGAGTGGATAGACCGTGCGCTGGAGATTTGTATCATTCTTCAGCCGACTGATGCTTCGGAATATATTATTATTATTTGTTTCATTTCGAGAAGATTTACTTTTATTTGGCTTACTTTTTCTTTCAGAATGCATTGTTATGTATAACCGTTATTGTTTATATTATATTAGCCCTTATTATTTTATACATGTTTATGTATGTAAGTCATTAAGACATAGAACAAATACCACTTAGGAAGATCCCATAACCATTCATTGTGTAACAACTATTGTTAATCACTTTGTTGTGCACAAACTCAAAGGTCCTATCAATAATGACCTCTAATATGTACATCACTTAATTATTAGGGAAATTTGGGTACTATCTTCCCTTACCAAATATTGTACTCTCACTATGCTAATTCACTACTATATAATGTATGTAATATATGTTTATCTAATACAGGAAGAGTCCTAAAGAGTCAGTGTTAAAGTCGCTAGTCCAAGTTAGTTTTAGTCTTAGTGGAGAGTCCTCCCGAGTCCTAGTTAGACTCATAAAATCCCTAGTAACAAACCTAGCAACTGGAATCTAGAAGTTATTAATAATCTTATAGTGAATAATAAAGTGTTTATTATCATAAAAACTCCAACTTCACCTCTAGCATTCCTTAAAAACTCCACTAGGACTCCACAACGACATAACTATCAGATATTCTACAGTGTCCAGAGATATTTGAATCCCGGGACACGACAGCATTTTTTTTATATGATTTATTTAACAATTTATGTTTTTTGTGTCTCTAGCCGGAAAGACTTAGGTCGATAGCCCTTTGGTTGCATTGTAACTAATAAAGATTATTATTATTAATTAAAATATTTCATTAATTATTATAGTTGATGTAAACATGAAATTTAGTAAACATCAACTTAATTTAGACATAATTTTAAGCCTCCCCCCTGCTCTCGCTTGTTTATATTAACACTTAATTTTAATTTAAGCTATCCAATTTTATTAGCGTTGCATGTAGAAATTATAAAGCGTAACATAAACAAATTTGTATATAAAATGGATGCTATGGTATTAAATTATACTGTTGTTTTGTGCGTTTCTCGTTTGTACGTTTTACGCTGCTTGCTAACTATGCAATAATCATAAAACGGTCGCTTTGCTGGGGGAGAAAATTTAATAAATAATAATCGTCAATAAATATTATTAATAATAAAATTCATACGCTGTGAATTATCAATTACAATATGCACGAATCGTCAGTTATTTCATATCTAATCAACGTTAATTAATGAAAATTATACTTTATTACGTTTTACTAGACGATTGTAATAATTAAAAATATTGTTTAATTTCCATATTTATTTTTCTCTCCTTTTTTTCATGTTGAAATTCACATTCTGTTTATTCTAAAAAACCGAAGAAATCTTTTTGAAATTCCATAGAAATTCATTACAAATCCCTTAGAAATGTGAAGGAAATCCTTAAAATTCCCATAGAAATTCATTATTAACATTTTCTAAGAAATATCATTTAATTTATTACAAATCACATAGGAATCCTCTAAAATCCCATAGAAATTAATGATTTTAAAATTTCATGAAAAATATCAATGATATTCTTAAAAATCCCATAAAAATAATATAAAAATCGTTTAAAATCTTTAACAAATTATTAAGAAATTCATATGAATATTATCGAAATTCTTTAAAAAAAACCCATAGAAATCCTTTATTATTAGAAATATCATTGAAATTCTGAAAAATAGTTATAAAGCAACCATCGGCCATTCTTTAAACAATAGCTAACAAATTTATTTATTGGATAAAATTAAATTTTTGTTAAAATGATATTGTATTATTTATGATGTCTGTAATTTTAATTTTATTACCATTTTATTAACATAAAATGTAATTAATCATATTTGTACAGCTACAGAAATATATGAAAGCCAGTCCATATTTCACAGGCACTAATTTGTATAATGTTTGTATATTACGTGTCAATATAAAAAAGCACATTGAATATGTATATCTTTTGACGCAAACCGTTATATAATTCAAGTAAAACACCCGATATAGAATGTTGATTACATTCAACATTCATATAAATATCCATCTGTTAATGGAAAATAACCCTGAAAGCTTATTATATTTGTATGAATGTTTCAACTTCCTTACGGCACCGCTCGATGTCGGAATTATTAAGCTATCAATAACAGAAACGTTATTAATGGATTACTGATACATCTCGCTTCAGATTGATAGGTATTAATTAGTGGGTCACTAGCAAACCAATATCCAGTTCCAATTATACCAATGCATAACGATTCAAATTGATGATAGCGAATGAACTTTCTTCGTGGAAAAGCTTTCAAGGACGACAGAAGGAGGAGTTGAAAAAAAAATATATATCTATATAAGAGGAACATTAGGAGGGAAAAGGAATTTATACGGGATTCTATCGACTAATGCATTCCGTTAATGGGCCTATA